GGAAGAGTTTCCATGTGGTAACCTGTGCTGATGGGGCAGCAACTTCTGGGGCTTCCCAGCTGAGAGTGCAMAAAAAAGTGTCTTYTGTTYAGATGGGAGTTTGCTCAACAGCAYTGCTGRCTTCTGCCACTGGTAAATCCTCACKATTGCTGTTGTGTCCATAGTCTTCCATTTATCCTTTAATACCCTCTTACCATAAGGTTTAGATCTTCAACTGGGACGATCCAGCCCTTGGATATGCCCTCTAATAGCAGTGCTTTTGTGACCAAACCTATCCTGTGCTGAAGTTTTTCCCCTGCCAGGCCTGCTGTGTCCCACCTGAAGGGTGGATAAGCCCTCATGCTGAGCAGCTCTAGGAACTTACTACTACCCATATCTTTGATCCCTTCCTTTAGGAGATCCAAAGACCTACCACAATGGCTGGAAGTTCACAACGTGGRGCAGGGACAATGACATGGCTCTCAGCAACTGTGCCCTGACACACCATGGCACATGATGGTACAAGAACTGCCACCTGGCCAACCTYAGTGGGAGGTACGGCGCAAGCAAACACAGTGAGGTGAGTGGTAGTGCTGGTGTGCTGATTATCTCTTCTTCATAGCCTGGAGAGAGCACATGGAGGAAATGTCTTTCCTTGGAGCAGGAGGGATTGCCCTCTGACTCATTTCATTAGAAAGCAAAATGCTCCACAAGAAAACTTACAGCTCTTACTCTCTCCAGAGGATCTGAACTCATTCTTCTTGTGGGCAGAGATACTTGAGGTGGAGCTGTCTTGACCTCTGAGGAGAGCACCTACAGGAGCACTCACTAAGASTGACACTGGGATGCTTGCTCACTGTCTGATGTAGCCTTTGCCTTGACTTTCAGTGCATGCCTTGGGGTACATCTCACTGTGCAGACTTAGTTTGGGATTCAAGATGGCTCAGTCTGTTGTGTTCCAAGCTGGACAGAGGTTTCATTTATATTAAGAGCATCTGAAAGACTGATTAACGTCTCTGTTTATTGGAGGGTTAAATGGTATTTGTGGTGGGCAGTGGYAGACTCCTAGCACATGGTCTGGGCACTTTAGTAAGAGAAATTCCTTGGTCTTTTCCCAGGGTGTGAACTGGGAGGCATGGAAAGAACATGAATTCTCCATCCCTTTTACGGAGGTGAAGATCCGTCCTCAGTCTTCCAGTAATGAGYCAATCCTGGGGAGGAAGAAGAGGTCTTTATCAGGGAAGAGAAAGAAGATCAGGGCTTAAACAGAACTCTGTGCAGGACAGTACACAAAGATAATGATTCAGTATTTCTTAACAAAGTTTCAGACAGCTTTCTCCAATACGAAGGAAACAATAGCTGACCAATGTGCACCCAGGGACATCTGGATCTGCAGCCCAACCTGCTACCAGTCTTTGGAGCCCCTCATGGGTGATATTCCAGAGACTAGGAGAGAACTTTTTGGGGGCATGCTGCTTGTAGATACTCTGGTTGGCTAAGCATGACAAGGACCTGCTTGATCCAATACATGMAACTTCTATGAACTTTATTAAAACAAACCTTAACACATGCTGATCTTTCTGAGACCTGGACTGCAGACTTCTTAATTCTGTCCTTCTCTGGTGCCATCCACTTCAGACTTCCAAAAATAAATTTGAACTTACTAACAAATAATAGCCCTCTAATTTAYATCAGAGAGAACTTTTCTGAGACTRTCACTTCTCCCTGTTCTGGTCTGTAGTTCTCCTCATTATTTGGGCACATTCCCTACTCTTCCTGCAGAACTGGGTTTTGGGAAATCATACCAGTCGGCTGCCAAGGCTCCTTAAACCATGTGAGTTCTGTAGACTGGGTTCCTCAGCCTCCAGTATCACATCTCTCCWGGTTAAAATCTTGCTGTTTTGCTTATGTCATGTCTCCCAGCCCAAAAAACCTAAGGAGATGTGCAGTAAATTGATGTTCACAATCTGGGATGCGGCCCAGAACACAGTGGATCTAAGGGTTGCTCCCCTCTAGTCTATGCTCACCATCCCAAACCTTCCTCTCAGTACTGCTTGCTTACAATTAACAAAATTCTCTATGCGACTGTTCCATCTGCTGCCTTTTGCTTTTTAATCAGCAGTGTGGCAGGTAGTGATGCTGAAATGATAACACTTGTCATCTGCTTCTAAAATGAGCATCTCTTGGAGTTAAACTGATCCTGCATGCTTTCCCTCATGCCCCAGTGCAAAGTTTCACATTTGACTGCTATTTTTTTTTTTATTTTTACACACAGCCATAAAGCTGAGGTTTATTTTCTTTCCCTGAGATGATATTAAAATTCTGCACCACCTGCTCCAGCCAGGGAAGAAGTAGGAGCTCACCAAATGCTGCTTGCTCAAAGGCTTCTTGTCTGAGCACAATTGTCCCATGTCTTAATGGCCTTTTCTATCGCAGTACTAACCTGAGTAACACATTCTAAGGAATCCTTTCCAGACTTTGGAGAAAGTAATAAAATTGCAAATAAAGGAAGTCAAAATATTTCTGCCTTCTTTGTTTTGAGTGCTAGAATTATTTTTCTTTGTATTTAAACTAAGCATTTTGTATGGAGTGGGAGCATTGCCCAGGCCTGGAGTGAGGCTGTGCAGATCAGGTCTTTGGGATCTGCTCCAAAAAACGGATGGGGATTGTRATCTCTTTGTGACTTAAGTCTGTGAAGGGCCTAACTGTTCTGTGCTTGCTAGGACCTCTCTGAGGAGACCAAGCTAGAGTTGTCTCTCAAAGGTGAGGACTAAATTCTTCGTAGTATTTTCAGGGCTGTGCTTCTTGGGTGGATGGGCAGACATTCATCTGAGCTGCGTTAGGATATCCAAGCTCTGGTTGGGGGGAAGGAGGGACTAATGGTGAGAGGAGTAGAAAGGAAAATTGCACTTGAAGTGTTTTGCAGGCTCTGTGCTAAGAGCATGAGAGAAGGACATGGGAAAATGGTAAGTGCTCTTTGCTGTGAAGTGCTTTACTGTGAAATACCTGTTGCCCACTTGKCTSTCRGTAAGRACARGTTTCAGTTTGTTTTTCASYTAAARGACAYGGTGAAGTCATCAGGAAGGTGACTGAGAGGGAGAGGAGGACTACACTCACACACAGACCCCCTAAAAGTAAGTGTATGCTCTAAAAATCAGCAGGCATGATTGTTCCCTGTGACTTTTCCCTTTGCAGCAGCAAAAGCTGAATTGCACCTGTGAAAAGGGAATATCCTCTTAAGCGGTACAAGCTTTRTATTTGAGCTAAAGGTAAATGAGATACCTTATTTGCAGTTTCTGAGGAGGGTTTATCTGTCACTCCTAATGCAGCTCTCTTTCACCCGGAAGGGYAAAATGACAGCTGCTGGAAACCCATTGCAGAAAGTCAGTATTCCCGAACAGCCACAGGATGGCATTGTCTCTTCATTCGGGAGAGACTTCCYTGTATCCAGCTGGCTTCTGTGGAAGGACCTTTTTGGGGTTAACCACAGTCTGTGCTGCATTCTGGGGGGCTGGGACTGCTCAGACAATGGAGTTTGTTTGCCTTGAGGAACTGGGTGTTTGGGTTTCAAGGCTCAGGATATTTGGGGGTAGTCCCACAGAAATGTCATATCCCCCTACTATCCTTGTCTTACTGTAATCTGCAGCCCTGTAACAGTGACACTGGAGGGCCAATACATTCTCAAAACCTCTGCCTTGCTCTGAGATCACTTAGAAATTTATATACTGATTAGCAACATACCCAGGGGCAGAATTTGAATCCCACGAAGATCCTCACTGCTTTGACATTGCTGTGTTGATGAGGGTTGTCCTGTTGCTGGGTCTAACCAGCTAGGACCATCTGTTATGATATATCTGCTATATCTGGGACCCCAGAGAAATGTTGCTATAYTTACCCAGGAGGACRAGGGAGAGAATGCCTCTTCCAAAGRTAGTGTTTCCATATGGTGTRATTTGGAGAGAATRCTGAAGGGTCKTACTGCACTGGACACTTRCTTGGAAAGCAGTGYTGTTACTTTTGGCCACTGCCCTATTCTTTGTTGGCTGAATAAATAGTGGAATGGTCAGTTGAGATCCAATTCTTCCATCATAGAGGGATTTAATGGGCATTTTTGCTTCCCTTCAATTTTTAGACTGCTCCGGGATGCTAAACTTCACCTCAGCCACTGCATATTTCTAACCTAGGGCCCTGGAACTATCCTTTCCCCCTGCAGCCCAGGCTGCCYTGGAACACCTGGCCCTGAATCCACTGTCTGACATCTGGAGAAAAGCAAGGTGTGCACTGCTCCTTTCTTCTCCAGAAAGTGGGCCTCTGCCATTTCTGGCTGCTTATCACTGCAGTCCTACACACCTCTTTCATCAATCTCTTCTGGAGTCTCAGCCTTGTGGGCAAGGGGCAGCTTGGTGCCTCATCCAGCTGAGGAGCAGGTTTTTAGTTTTTGCCCTCATGGAGGGAGAGCTCAGTGGTGTAGGATTTGGAAAGGCTCTGCCCAGCGAGCTGCAGACCATGAAGTACTTGTYTGATCAAAACCAACTGGGGTTACTACTACATGCTGCTGATCCCCTGTAAGAAAAAAAACCTTCTGCAGCCCACCTCCCACAGCACAAACATGGCTTTTCTTCTTCCCACTACTTCTTGCCCTTGGGTAGAGGAGCTTGGTTGTGCTCATTAGCAAGGCAAAGCTATTAAACTTGAWTAAGTTAAGCTATATCTTTAAGAAAACATTTCTGAGCTGCACAGCTGGCTGCAGGCAGAGACTGCACAGCATTTGCTCGCTGAGCTCTGCCTGTCTCTTATCTAGGGCCAGGTCACAGATACAAGAAAGATTTCCCCAGAAAAATAAACACGACTGAGAGACTGAGATACAGTGTTTGTTTGCAGTTTAAGAGTATTTATTTTTGGTTTAAAAAAATTGCATAAAATTTGTCTTTCCCTGTTGCATGGACTTGTTCAGGAAAATGGAAGGTTGATACTGAAATGCAGTTGTGGGAGGCAGGGCAGAAGTGTCTGGAAAGCAAGGACCATGCAGTGGCGTCTCTGTACTGTGCATTTCTGCCTCCTTGGTAGCGTGGGTGCTGCAGGATTGCTGCTGCCCATTGCAGCTGGAGGGTGACAGGTTCTAGTGCACCCTCAGGCTGTTGTTGCTCTTTTGCTTTTTCTTCCAGAAGCAGCCAATTCAATGCATGGTTTGGCCTGAACGGCAGACATCAAGCAAACCAGCCCCCATGCTTTAGGGAGTGTGGAGGCTCAGACCATWCACTGGTTGGATAGATCAGGGCAGRGYTGTATCCTSGTCTCTCTYCCTGCACAGCCCAGGAGTGATTTGAATGATGATTTTGAGGAGCTTTTGAAATTCAAACCTAACTTTGAACTCCCCAGAGCCTGAATCTGGAGATGTTGTGTGATACAGTGCTCACATTTTCCTGGCAGTTTTCTGGTTCTTGTTGAGATTGGTTGCCCTCACCTGAAGAGTTGCTTGCTATGCTTTCTGGAAAAAAGCCTCGCTGCAGCAACCCTGCAAAGCCTGGCACTTCCACACTGGGTAGATTGTACTCTGATGGTGCTTGCTGCCTCTGTGCTCCTGCTAGTTTTGGTAAACCTCTGTTCTCCCATCGTGTTACCCTTTACTCTGATTATTTTTTTTGTTCCTCTGGGCAGCACCACCCTGCTTCCAGGGCACTCATGTTTCTGGATCACAGCAGCACCACCTGCATGGGCTGCATGGGCCACCTGGTGAGTGTGCAGACAGAAAAGAAAAGTACCTGGATGGGGGAAAGGAGGGAAGGAAGAAGAATAATACAAAAGGCAGTGCTAGCTGTCCAGGATCCTGGCTGGACTGGAAGCTTGGGTCAGACACCAGAGCTATTGCTGCACTTGCTAGCACTACACGTGGCAGAACCTTCATTTTTATACCAATATATGTTGCTTCCTGTTTTGGAGAAGGGAGTCACTAATTTCAGTGTGACAAAGCAAGCTTTGGCATGTACGGGGTCAATTTAAAGTGCTATGTGAAGAGGAGCCCAGCTTCCTGGCTGTTCCCAGCACAGCTGCATGCAGCCAAACCCCGTGACAYGATGTGACCATCACAGCCTGCATCAGACAAAACAGGCTGTGTTGGAACCGGGTGGCACAAGCAGCCACTTCCAACCAGTGGCTTTGTCCTTCAAGTCAGGGGAAGGTGGCACCACCCTTGCCTGGGCTGGAAGAAGCTGTGCCCAGCAGCTCAGTCCAGGCTTGCCTGTGTGGGTTTGGCTGCTTGTTCCCAGATGTCTGGCTTTGGTAACAGCTCTGGCTGGCAACTCTGGTCTGCTCYRGCAAGTTAAGRACTGGAAGAAAATGGAAGGAAGACRTCCAGTGTACRGACARGGCAAAAACCTGATGTGAAGAGGCTTTTTATCACACACATGCATCCCTCAATGAAAAGTGATGGTGGAGACAGAGTCCGGTGGGTCAGAGAGTGGAGAGCAGAGCAGACTTCCAGCACAAGGGACACAGGATGGGAACACAAACTAAGGCGGGGTGGAGGGGGAAACCAGAGCTGTGTGTGGTCCTGTTAGCTGCTGTGCCCAGGTTAGCCATCTTTCCAAGGAATGTGAGGATGGAGAGAGGTGCATAGTCTGGCTGTGTAATATATTCCTTTGTAACGGGTGACTGTGGACATAGAATTTACTTTGGTTCTACAGCACATTTAAAATCCAAGAGCTGGTCAGCCTGACAGCCATACAGAAGCCTTCAGTGGAGCACAYAGAGCTGCCCATGTGGCATCAGCTGGGGCAGCACGTGCTTGTGGGTCTGTGTGTGTCTGACACATGGCAGAAGGGCAGCAGGAAAAGGTGATGGCTGACTGTACCGGSAAACTGTTTGCTGCTTCAATACCGCTTTTGATGTGCCTGGCCCCATCCAGAGGGGCCTTTGGTCCTGCTCTTCTTTAGTAGTCATTCAATAAATAAGTCTAATGCCCATAGCAAAGCTTTTACACAGCCTCAGGTTGTGTTTCTGCTCTTGCAGTAGCATGGTGGGCTCTTTAAAATCAAGTTTGTATAAAAGAGTCTTTCAAGGAAGGGATTTTCTTAAGTGCTGGTGCAAAAGGGCTAATCTGCCAGCCTCCTCTCTCCTTCCTGCCTCTAGCCTAAGTGGAAAAGCATCCTTCTGCTGTGCTGCCTTAGGATGGTGTCTGCGATCTCTAAGGCTGGGCTGAGGCATCTGGCTTCAGGTGCTTGTGAGTGACTTTGGTTTGGTGGCCTGGAAGATGGCACATCTTTGAGCTGTGGGGTAACTCAGCTTTCTTTGTGTCTCCAAAGCACCATCTCCACGGCAGGGCAAGCAAACGAGGWGTGCCTGTGCCTGCTTTGCTCACAGCTGTGTTGTGCAGGGGGMGTGTGCAGGTGGCTGTGAATGTTATCCTCTGCACCCTTATCTCTGCCCCAGCGTGCATGCTTGCAGATGAGTGCAGAGGGAGAGCCTCACACGCTGCTCACTGTGTGCCAGCCCGGTTCGTGTGCGCTGTGCTCGTGGCAGGAGGTACATAGGACCCGTTGGCAGGTCATCCTTGTGTGCTCACCTGTTCTTTGCAGGGGTCTCTGCCCCAGGGCATGCTGTCATGGTGGGAGAGAAGAGGCTTGCACAACCTGTTGCCTGACTGCCTTGTTTTGTGTTGGCCCTTCAACATGCTGCGTCAGCCTCTGTTGAAAGTCACCATAAAGTGGCAGCAGCTTTGGCATCTCCTTGCCCCTCCTGGTGCACAGGTGAAAGGAGTGGTGGCATCTCAGAGGAGGGGACCTGAAAGCCCTTCTGTCCAYTAGATGGGCAAGGAGGGTCTCTTGTCCAGCAAGAGCAGCTTGGGCTGAGCTGAGATCCACAGGTCCTCTTCATCCTGCTTCTTCTTCTTCTTTTTCTTCTTGTTCCTCTCGGCATGCAGCTGCCCATTGCTGCTGGAGCCACCTTTCCTTGTGCTTTCTGTCCTCCGTCTGCAGAAGCAGCAGTGGCAACAGATGAAAATGAAGGCRATGAGGACAACAAGGGGTAGACCCAACAACACGGCCAGGCAGACGGTGTTGAAGATGCCCTCCTCGTGCTTGGTACGGACGAGCTCCAAGATGGAATTAAAGAAAGAGCTGATCTTCTGCTGCATGTCGGCTCCTGAGTAGGCTTCCTGTGCTGCTCCCTGTGCTTGAAAGGCACCTTGAGATATTCTCAGCTCCTGGAAGCAGCTAGTGGGCTGCACAAGTGTCCTTGGATGTTGCCTGCAGAGACAAGAAACCGTATGGATCAGGTGCCTGCTCCCTCAGCAGTTTTCTCCATGKWGCTSCCTGAACAGCCCAAGCCTCAACAGRGTAAGATGTCTCCTGACTTGAAARGGCCTGGAGTCATGGGGCCTGGACTATGCTGCCTGCTATGCCCCACTGGGTGTCTTCACATGAGAAACATAGCCTCCTGTCTCCTGGAGTTTGTTCTTGATGGTGGGGATAGGTGAGGCAGGCTTTGGGCATCCGTACCTGCCTTGGCATTTAGCCAAGCACAAATCCTTTGGACTTACACATCAGCCCTGGCTGAGCAGTCACAGCACAGAGCTCTTATTAGTCCTTTGTAGGGCTTGTGTCTTAGCAGAGGAAATATTGTCTGCAGGAGGAGCTTTCCTGTCTRGGCAGGGACTTGTATGATCTAGGCCACTGACCATTGTGGAGAGCAGTACTGCCATAAGAGCCAGAACTCCACATGTCACAGGTCTCTCCTTTTTCTCAATCTATCCTGGGATGGTGTATCTTTGGACAGACTTTCCCATGGGCCATGGTCTCAGATGGGCAGCACAGAGATAGGGTGGGGTCTGTTCTTACAGCCCCAACACCAGCTGCTTCCATGTACCCAGGGCTGGCCASAAAGGTGGCAGCCAGGGAGGATAAGGGTTGGCTGGGGCAGAGGAGTTGCTGCTGCTGTGCCTCACCTGGGAACTGTTCCAAGGGTTTGGGTAGGGCTGAAAAGCATTTCTGTGGCTTGACGTAAGGCTTTCCTCTTCCCTCAGGGAGGGAGAGGTGCTGAGTGGTAGGACTCTCAGGGAAGTCCTCCTGCAGGCACAGGGAGCTTCTGCCTCTGCTCACACCTTTCTTCCTCTCCTGTGGCCAGGCAAAGCATCTGAGTAGAGCAGGGGCCTTTGTGCTGTGAGTCTGCAGTTCTGGTTCAACACGGGTCACTAAGTTAGAGGTTGTACAGATGAAGAGCTAGCAGGGGCAGCATCAGGCTCCAACACCCTATTTCACCCTTGCTCAGCATTTTACATCAGTGTCTTTGCCAGCCTTTGGGAGTCAAGCCCTGCAGCCTCTTGAGGGAATGCTTAAATCCCCATRTGCCCAGGAGGGGAAACTGAGGCACAGTAAAAGGAAAACCAACACTTCCATGTAACAAAAACTTGAGAGGTACAGTCTAAACGCCAAAGGTGTCCCAGAGGGATTGCTCCACCTGTCCCCTGTGACACCTGACTCCTAATCTTTCCTTCTGGCAGCTCCCACAGAGCTCAGGGACCTCAAGGGAGGGACAGGAAGGGGACTCAGGCTGGTTTAGGCTGAATCCTTCTTGTCTATAGCACTGCTCTTCCTTGCCCTGCATCTCATTTATTCCTTGTGTGGCACCTGCTAAGGGATGCTCTCTTGCATGGTGTGTTTCAGGATCCTCCAGCCAGCGCCACTGTGCTTCTTTCTGCCTCACCGTGCTATTACACCCCACTGCTAACAAGAGACCAAGCATCAGCCACGCCCAGAAAAGCAGCCACAAGTCCCACCCAGCCCTAACCACCGCTTTCTTAATGCTGCTGAGGTGGGAACTCCTRGGCAACCCCAAAAAAGGCAGCTCCCAAGGGAAAATCTGCCTTCCAAAATGCTGTCCTGGGACCTACAAAGCTGCACAGGGTCTTTTTTCACCAGTCTCCCCTGGCTGCTGGCTTTCAARCTTAACTATCAGGACCTCAAGAGCTGAATCCCTCAGCATAGATGCCAGGCTTTTGATTTGGGATACCACAAGTGCTCAGGTTCTGTTAAAAATAAGGGGTTTATCTGCCCCTTGGAAACAGACTGACCGCTGTGGGTTTGCTGTTTTGATCTACATGAGCTTGCAGCTGAGCTGGCCCCAATTAGCTSGTGGTTTCTCTTTTGAACATGAATTTCTCTGCATGCCTTTCCAAAAAATTCTCATTTGAGATTTACAAAATGAAATGCAGTGCTCTGGGAGGTGGTTTTGGGTTTGGCTGAAAGAAGTTTTTTAAAATATTATTATTATTATTATTATTATTATTATTATTATTATTATTACTACTACTATTGGATTTTTGTCCAGACTGCTGCATCAAAACTGGCTGCTCCTCACATTTCCTCAACAGAGGACAGAAATATCACTGGCATCCCCACCTGAGAAATCACAGGCCACCACTCAGAGACTCAAATCCCATACACCCTCTTCCTGCCCCCTGCCTGGAGCSAGCTGGGAGCATCCCAGATCTGCTTTTGCTCACAGGGGAGATAAGCAAAGGCCACTTCTTAAAGCAACTTCCTGTCATAATCTTCATCTTCACCTAGGTCTTTTTTTTTTGGGCAACTGTAGTAAAGGTTCAACTGCAACACAAATAAACAGAGCAGCTTTTCCTCAGCCTGAATCATCCATAGGATGCAGATTTGCCATTATCCATAAATATCCTGMCAGCTCATTATCCAGTCAGGACACCTATGATACACTTGACTACAAAAAAGAAATACAAAACTTAACAACTCCCAAACAACAACCRCCTTAATTTCAGACAAAACAGGATGTATGGTTTCATTCCTGTGCTGAGCTGCTTTATATTTATTGCCTCTAAACTTCTGTGTAAGGAAGGAGGGCTGGAACTTCCTTTTAAACTTGTAATTAATTGTTTGCAGAAGAAAAAAATAATGGGGTAGGGAGGTGGGGGGAAAAACAAAGCACTTTGAAATGTTTCCACTTTAAACTGAAGCTGAATGTACTGCAGAGGCCCTGGCTGATGGTTACTGGAAAGTGCCCAGCTGGGGACGTGTGGCCACCCTGGGCAAGCCACACGTGTATCCCTTGGAAGGGGAAGGTGGAGGTACCTGCCCCTACCCTGACCAAGTAGCACCCAAATCCCAGGGCCATCTTCCAACACAGCCATGCAGCTGGTTTTCAAATGCTTTTTATTTCTGGTGTGTGCATTGCTTTTTGTTTTGTAGATGAAGGGATGTCTGTGTGATAAATGATGGGGTTCTTCAGTTTTATATTGAAAAAAAAAGAAGGAGAGGGAAAGTAGAAAAACTGATGTCTTTGGAGGTGCAAGTCCAAGGGCAGAGGGGTTACCCAAAGCCACCCATTGCCAGCTGAAAACCTGAGTGCACCAYGAGGAGCTGCGTTTAGGAAAATCCATGCTGCTGCTCAATTTAGTGTGACATCTCCCCATACAGAAGGGAGGAACATGGAGAGCTGCTTCCATGCTGTCATCCGGGATGGTTGTGAACTATTTGCCCAATGCATGTGGAGCTGCCATTGGGATGTCAGCTGKTTTTTGGGTCAAGATATGGGACCAAAACACAGGGCCAGGGAGCTACTGGGAGACAAGGCTGTGTCTCAAGGAGGGCTGTGAAGCACCCTGCTAAATGAGCTCTTTGTTTTTGGGTTGCCAGTGCTGGCAGAGCCAGGGGAAAGCTGACATGGAAACTCGCCTGGGAACTCCTGTGACCAGAGATGGATAGCCCCAACAGATGGCAGCTCTGCACAACGGGGCTTTATGCTGCTTGTGTCAGTTTTAACTGATGCTGGGCATCCAACATGAAGTTCTCTAATCCACACTGGCTTCGAAAGAGCTGGTTTGCAAGGGTGGGGAGCATCTGCCACTCATTTGGAGTTATGGAACTCCAAAGGAGTGGGTGGAGAACAAGGTCCTTTTGAGGGATGGCTTGCAATGGTACCGCAAACTGTTGGCGTGCCTGGCTGAGCTGGAGGGGTAAAGGCTGCCAGCTTGTGTATGGGGAAACCAAAACAGGGGTTGCCTTGGCAATGCTGGCTTGTCCACATCCTGTGCACTGCAGAGAGACCACAGTGACTGCGGATGGAGGTAGCATTTGCAGAAAAGTTGCAGTTTACTGGAAACTGCTATGCTGTGTCACCATGGCAGAGGGGAGAGTGCTGGAGGTAATTTTACTAGTTAAGTTCTTTAAGCTCAACCCATAACAGGCCCTTACATCTTCATGAAGTTCCCTCCAACCTAACAAAGCTGAACCTGCTCCTCTCAGCTGGGYTGCCACCTGACTCAGGCAGGAGTGGGGCTGCTGTAAGGTGCTCCCTGTGTCCATGGTGAGAGCCGTGGCAGCTCTGGGGAACAGCTGACCTGTGGGATGTGCTCCCAGTATTTCTGGATTATTTGAACACTCCTGTGCTCAGTGGCCAGCTGCAGCTCAGGACTTGTGGAGCTACAGCCACCCCCATTTCCTTAACGCAGATGAGACCACACTTCAAGAGTTGATGCTAAGGAGTGCAAAGCAGGAATCACATTATTAAACAATCACTTCCTTCTGTTACTGACTTTATGTCAGCTTTATACCAACTTTCATTGCAGTGACAGCTATTGGTCAGGCAGGGAGAGGATAATTTTTGTTACAGACTGTGAGCTCCCTGATCCACCCACAGAGACACAGCTATGCTGTCACACGAGTGGCATCTATTTTCCCTGCTTGCACCTGCAGACTTAAAGGAAAACTGGATGAAACCCGACACCGAGGGTGAGCAGTTTCCTCAGCASGGATTGCACGCTGCTGTTTCGGAAATGGTGACTAAGAAGAGTTTTGCCGCCGGTCTCCCAGAACTTGCAGCAGYTACAAACACCTTCCTCAAATATAGACGACAAACACCAAAAGCCACCACCCAGGAAACACGATCAGTCCCACCACCATCAAACCGTCTTACTAGAAGCCACATGTAAATGCTTTCATTCCCTAAAGGGAGTGCTTGGGAAAACTGTTGATATGGATGTCGGTAACGGGGTTAAAGTGAAACTATTTTGCAAGCTGCTGCCTGTAGCCCACTCGTCATCACAGTCTGCACACGCGCGGCTACCGTCGGCCCCGGGATCATGGAGACTGGCCAAAAGACCAATTTTGAGTTTAGGTGAGTGCCACTGTCATCCCTGGATGCACTGGGAGCTCCTCAGAGCCATCCTGGGCTCCTCTGAACTACCGTATGGGCAGGGCTGCCTCTCTGGGTGGCCAGCAGCCCCCACCCATGGTCCCTTCTGGGGTAAATCACGTGTGGTTTTGGTTACAACAGGCTCAGSGGACTGCCAGAGAAGASGTGAATGCCCAATCCGTGTAAGYGTTCAGGATCAGGTTGGACGAAYAACCTGGTCTAGTGAAAGGTGTCCCTGCCCGCGGCAAGGAAGTTGGAACGAGGTGGTCTTTCAAGTCCCTTCCAATCAAACCGTTCTAGGATTCTACGCTGTTCAAAATGTGCGGGTGCAGCTCTGGTGCCCCAAAACCCTGGTGCCAGGTAGACTGCCCCAGACACACATCCCCTTGAGAGCTAATTGCTCCTCTTTTCCCAGCGTCACTGTTCTCACCCCCTCCCCCCGTCCCGGGCTGCGCGAAGATGATGTGGCCTTAAAAAAGAAAAAAAAAAAAAAAAAAAAGAAAAAGAAAAGCCCTGGATTTGAGCAACACAGCACCGAGGATAACACCTAGGGAAACCCAGCCCCGGGACCCCCCTCCCGGGTACCCCCTGCCCCAATCCCCGACCTACTTGTGCTCCGCAGTCCCGTCCCGCCCGTCGGTCCCGGCAGCTCCGGCGCACGGGGGAAATGGGACGCCCCATCCCGTGGCGTCCCGCCCGCCTCCGCCCTCGGCCCGGCCCCGCCGCCCTCCCGGCCCACCTGGGGCTCCCCCCTCGCTCCCACGGCACCCTAAAACTGCGGGGGACACACAGCGTGGGGCGCGGGGCAGGCTGCGGGGTTTAGGCTGGGAGAGAGACGGGGACGGGGCACAAGCCAGCCCCGAAGCTGCTGTGGGCAAGAGGGAGGGAACCGAGTGTTTGGCTCACYAGGCTTTGGTGCAGCCCAGGTTTTCCCAGAAGCGTTTTTGGGAGACTGCAGGGGGTGATGCCAATGCTGTGGTGGGGAGGACAGAGCAGAGTTCCAGCTCACCAGTGCCAGGAGTACCATTCTGAACTCGCCACCACTGCCACCCTGCTCCCTCTCATCTCCATCCAGCACCCCATCACCACCACCCTGCATATTGTCACCCCTGACGCCAATCCTCTGTCCCTGGAAAAGAAACACTGCAGCCAAGCAGAAAGTGATGGAGGATCCTGTGGGAA